CAAGTAGCACAGAACCCTTTCTGTAGCAGCTAGATGAGTATCTCTGGGAGAATGCATAAACTAACTAATAACAATTACTACATAGGAAATATCTGGCCGAGTCATGCAAAGGTATAACAACTTCCCAAGAAGTCTCTGAAACACTCCCTTATCAAACAAAGGTTCACCATCTGTGGCAGAAAGCTTACGATTAGGATCAATGGGATTGGAGATAGGTTTAGCTCCAAGTTTACCAGTTTCAGCAAGAAGATCAAGGACATATTTGCGTTGAGATATGAAGATACCATCCATAGACCGAACAACTTCAATGCCCAAGAAATACCAAAGATCTCCCAAGTCTTTGATTTCAAATTCAGAGTTGAGAAATCCTTTTAGTTTACTGGCCTCTTCAATGCCATTACCCATGACCATAATGTCATCAACATAAACGATCAAGAAGGTCACCAGAGAGTCATTTCTCTTCAAGAACAGTGTATGATCAGATTGTGTTTGAATGTAGCCAAAGGAGACAAGAGCAGCTCGAAATCTCTCAAAATCAAGCCCGAGGAGATTGTTTGAGACCATAAATAGATTTGTGTAGTTTACACACCTTGCCTTTCATTTCTTTCCCATACACTCCTAAAGGTAGAGACATATAGACCTCTTCATGCAGGTCTCTATTCAAGAAGGCATTTTTAACGTCAAACTGGTGTAGGGGCCAATCAAAAGTAGCTGCTAGAGATAGTAAAACCCTGACTAAAGTCATTTTAGCTACAAGAGCAAATGTCTCAAGATAGTCAATGCCATACATTTGGGTTGAACCTCTCAACAGAGCCATCAGATTGATACTTAATGTTAAACACCCATTTACAACCCACTAGTTCCTTCCCTTCCGGCAAGTCCACAATATCCCAGGTATGGTTCTTATGCAATACCTCCATTCAGCTTGAGATAATGCTTCCGGTACAGACCTGGGTATCACATGGGAAGAAACAGATGCAAGAAAGTAGTAAGAAGGGGAGAGAAGACTGTAAGAGAAGTGTTTGGAGATATAGTGCATTGTACACTTCTGCTTGCCCTTGCGAAGAGCAATAGGAAGGTCAAGGTCTGGGTGTTAGACAGTTTTGTATACCCTTAGCTTCAATCAGAATGTACATTATGAGTTTATTGTAAATGAATAAAAGTACATATTTGATTCATTTCCCTTGGTATGTTTCTATGTAATACCCTAAAACTGGACACTTAACGAGACTCGTGTTAGTTTAGAATGTTCACAGCCAGTGGGTCGGTCTGGGGAGACCTATCCTGATAAGGCTGA